CGAACCCGGCTCATACTGAAAACAGCGTCTGCGAGGTTCATTTGCCTCATGACACATCGGGACTTAAGCCCTGGTGCAACTGGCTGCCTTGGCCGATCGCCGATCGCGGCCACTGGAAAAGCGCAGGAGCTGGGAAGAATGCCACAACCAGCTTCCAACATCCACAGAAAGAACGGATTTTCACATAGGTCACCGTAAAGATTGTGGGAGTCCTTTTGGTTGTCCTTAAAGCCAACACCGAAAAGGGTACTCTCAAAAGAAGAATGTCGCATGTATGCCTGCATCCGGCAAACCTAGAGGAATCCAGAGGCGAAACACAACAATTGACACGCCGGTCGCGCCAAAAGTCTTTGGCGGCTGCCGCGGTGTTCCCAGTTTTGAGAATCGATTTCCAAATGTAAGATTTTCGACTGGCATGCTTCACGAAAAACTTTGCTCTTTGCCCCCCCTAGATTTGTACAGCGCAAAACACATATCAACATTATCAACCAACATCACCGCATTAGTCAGTCAAGCAGCAAAGGGATTGCCTTGTAGTGAAACTGCTTTGTGTCTGGACATCGGCCCATCGGCGCATTTTTCAGAACTCCGTCGGGGTGACCCCAGCAGGGCAAGCTAACAGCAGCACGCCTTGGTCTATCTGTGCTGGATAGCAAGCCACGCGCACCAGGTACGCGATGCTTTTCCCACGGGAGCTTCAGACACGCTATTCTGGTGCGAAGTGGATATTGTCCATCCATGTGGCCAATGTTGGTCAAATGCATCGAAGGGGAAAAAAGGGGACTTCCAACGTTTGTATTAAAAAACAAATCATTAAAGACCCTTCCAATGCAGTGTGACGACTGCCAAAAGGAGGATCAGCCCAGAGAGGACCTAATGCAACAAGGTGAGGGCTTTGAGGCTTGGGTGCCGCTGCAAAAGTTTACAAATTTTGCTGGGTCCAATGGAAAATCCGAGCTTCAACCCAAAAAAGTTGAAGTCCGGCTTACCATTCCAATAGCCAAGGAGGGTTCCACAATATTGAGTTGCTCCAAGAACCCCGAAAGAAAATCAGATCAACCTGTTGAAACTCGGTTGCTTTCTGCTCCCCTGCTAAAAGTTTAACTTTTAGTGGTTTAATGGAAAACCCATTAGTTGGCAACAAGTTAAAGTCCTAACATCCAAGCACCCATTAGTTGGCAACAAGTTAAAGTCCTAACATCCAAGCAAAATGCATCAAAGGAAAGGAGACCTGAGCAGTTTTTAGACAGATTGGGGCATGGTGCTGACCCAAATTGCAACTTGGCGGAGGTCGATCGGGAAAATCCCAGTTTCACGAACAATCATCGAAGCGACACTGTGCAACGAAGGACTTGGATCAAACACAAAGCAGGCTAGAAAGGAAAAGCTCAGAGCAAGGACGACTTCACCTGTTGTTTGCATGCCTGTCGCAACTTGGGCCTTGGCCACTCAATCCTTAAGGCCTTCTTGAGCGAAGCAGGTGACTTGAAGCCAAGGCACTGAGAGGATGGTAGAAAATTGTCTGCAAGCCCACGACGTTGTCCGGACCTAGGAAACAAACTACCGATGCAGGCACGGCAATTTGGGAGCAACCAAAAAATAAGCTCAGGTGATATCCCCAACAGCATGCAGTGCTCTTTTTAGTGCTCGCACCTCAGAGCCCTCGCAAAACCCTCGTGGAACCATGGTGGAACCATGGTGGAACCCTGGTGGAACTCTGGTGGAACTCTGGTGGAACCCTGGTGGAACTGTGGTGGAACCCTCGCGGAACCATGGTGGAACCCTCGTGGAACCTTACCTCAGGGCCACCCCGGACCACCCCGGAGCCTATCTGGGCTGAGACCCCAAAGCTTTCAGCTGTTGGGGAAAAACACAAGGTAACATAGTCACCCTTTGTGTCGGGAAGGGGGAAGGGGGTCCTCCATTGAGAGTATGCCCCCCCCTCCATACATTACCTACGCACCAATAGGGTTCTTCTCAAAAGGCCAGCGACATCTCATTCATTGCTCAGCCCAGGCAAGGCTGACCACTTTGCATGCTGACCCCTGATAAATAAAGCCCCCACTTATGACTAAGGAGAATAAGTGGGGTCCCGTTTTGGTGGGGAATCCTTTTTTCGAGGGGGACCCCCTGATCAGTCAAAATTATCCCAGGCCATTTGCAGCATCGACTTCTCATTGGACCGTTCGAGTCCAGAGGGCTCTCGTACGCTGGGGCTGTGGCCAACAATGTACAAGACGCTAAGCGTCCTGTGCGCTGAACGGTCGGACGAGATTAAAGGGAACTCACGTCATCCGAATATACGCACCGTCTCAATTGAGACATCACCTCACCACAAGGAGACCCGCTCGAAATGACAAGTTGAGTTTAAACTACCGCCCCCAAAAAACAAAATAAATGTAGACTTCTGCCGCAAGTATAAATTCCGCACGTCAGCCTGCGGACTTGCACAAGAGCTTCAAATGACGTAATAAGTTGTTTGACTCGGTGGTTTAGTGGTCAGGGGGTGTCCCATTTACCCTCCACAGCAAGGGGTTGAGGGCTCCAACTCCCAAACCAAACCAAACCACCCAGCTAAGGGCACCTGATGTTTCCAACCGGATGCTTTTGGCGATCGCCAGCAACTGGCTAAGCCCAGCTTTCCGCCAGCATAGGCCTGGGCAGCGCCTCGCACTGCTCTTCATTGTCATAACTTAGGGTTTCGTACTGTGGATGGACGAAATCCATTTCGCACCACTTGGAAGCCATGGGAAACCATAACGTTGGTTGGTATTTACAGGGAAACCATCAATCCAGGGTTTCTTAGGTGGTGCGAAATGGATTTCGCCCAACCACAGCAGGATTATTTCAAGGGGTTCTTGGGAGGCAGTCTTGGCCTTGACGCCTGGGCTTACCCCTATAGCCCAAGCTTAGCATAGCAACTACGCCCTCAGGCCAAATGCACAAAATCAGCATGGCAATGTACAGATCTTACTCGCTTATCTGCATAAAGAAATGGACGCCACAGAAACAACCAATCACCATGGGCCCACCGAATCCCCTGCAACATCCCTTCAACATTCCGTCAACATCCCCATCAACATCCCCTCAAAACACCTGCAACATCTCCTTCAGATCATTTCAGCATCCTTCAACAGCTTCCCCCCAACATCCGTTCAGCATCCCCCTCAAAATCCCTTCAACATCTCAACATTCTTTCAACATCCCTTCAAACTCCTTTCAACATCCTTTCGGCATCCCCACAACAAGCATAAAACCCAAGTTTCAAGTTTCGGGGCACATCCCTGATTAGTTCGAATCTCGCCCCCGACTCCCCGCGTCGGAACCGAAGGTTCGAACCAAGCCGGCGCGGCTTCTCCGGAAGCCGTGGCTGCTTCTCATCTGAAGGCTCTGGCCTGCAAAGCACGAGCCACCGGTCTATGAACTGGATGCTTCCAAAATCTTCGGAACGAACAAGTGGGGATACGGAGGGAGCGGGGATATGGGGGATTCCCTTGGCGCCATTTCCCATATCAAACTTGGTCAAGGTGCATTGTGCATTACCTGTGCATTTAGGGGGAATCCTCCCGTATCCCTGGTTCCCCCCATATCCCTGCTAGTTGGTTTCCCTGAAATCTTGCACCACTTTGGGATGGATGAAGCCCTGTTAACTAGCAACCATGGGATAATCCGGCCGCCTACCAACTGGTGCCGGATTTTGGCCATCCAATCCCTTCCACATCAACTTTCCTGAGTTGACTGGTCAGGCTGCGAAAATCATGACGCCATCTCCCATACAAATGCTGAGGTTCCAAGAGATGAGACCATTCAAAGGTTCCCGGGGTCACCAAAAGGTTTCCAAAGAAAGAAGGAACCCAGACCCAAAAAGTATCGAGTCCATGAACTCAGGAAGTGAGACTTACACGCTGGTAAGTGGGTTTTGACCAGTGCCAACCACCAAGGGTTCTGAAGCGCCGCTTTGACTTTCCCGTCGCCAGCTAGCGCAGGTGAAACTGAGGTCCGGCCGCAACTTATGGGGTATTGGGGACTGTCTACTTGTGCTCGTTTCTTTGAGCAACCTTCCTAGAACTCACTGAAATCAAAGCAAGGGACTTGGAACGGTACTTGCTGGAACCTTAGCAAACAAACAAGCAAGCAAGCAAACAAGCAAACAAACAGGAACATAGAAGCATCAAGAAGGCCAACTGGGTTGGAGCAACGAGCAGCATCCAAACACCGCACTCATTTTTCTACAAGCGAGCAAAGCAGCCCCGTGTTCAGTTGGCACACGCAAAACATCTTTCTCTACGCATCCCACCAGTGCAAGCCGGACCTGGTGAGACATGCGGCTAGCTCTTCGCAAGCGCACTTGACTCAGAGGGCCTAACTAAATCGAATGATTTCCGGTACCGAAAGCCCAAGGGCTGTCATGTGTGTATGGGGACGCCTCAATTGTTGCACTTGTGGTTCCCATACACACCAACAAGAAAATAAACAGCAGCCTCCAAAAATCACCAGCCCATGCGGTTTCTGGTCAAATTTGGGGATGCTTGGCTGAACTTTGGTTCACTCGAAAGCATGCAATCTCGCTTGCCCCAACCTCATGGCATGATCGTCATTTTGCGGTGAAGCGATTGACGAAAGGGGAGTTTGCCAAGAGGTCAGTCACACAGGGATCCGAACATTATACACCTGAACATTGCAACTTGTAAATGGTGGCTTCCCTGTATTTGGGTGTTGAAAAAGCAACGTGTATCTTTTAAGGAGCCTATCTTGAAACATGGTGGTCTCTCTTTCTTTTGGGTGGTTTGCCCTTGAATGGTGGAAACAGCCCATGTTTCAACTGGTTGCAACATGGATCTATTTTTTGTGGAGCCCCTTGTGCATCTCCGGGGAATTCGGAACCTCGAGGAAGCCAAGCAGACAAGCAGCTGGTTTGGGGTGATTGGCTTCAAGGGATTGAAAAGAACCAGAGAAGGGAGAAAAACAAAAAACAAAACGCCGGAATATCTGCTCATACCGCTGAAACAGGGAGGCAATTTTGGCCAATGAACCCTGTATGGCCGACTTCTGGGATTTCTGGTGCTTGACTTCAGCCACAGGTCGGGGAAGCAAGCTTCGGACCATCAGTAGTCTTCGCTGTCGATGGGCCCGTCCAAGTCGGGGAACTCTTCGCCTCCCGCAAATTTCGAGAACGAGCCATTCAGAAGGGGACCCAACAAAAAGAAACCCGTCCCAAAACGTGGTCACCGGCGAAACAATGTCTTCAAATGGTTGAACCTGTGGGTCCCATGAGACCGAAAAGTTGAAGTCCAAAGATCCAACAAAATCCTCACACCTCTGAGGTGCGGGGGTATTGGTGGGACCCTCACTTCTGATTGAGTGGATGAGCCCTCAGTGCCATTGACCACATCCCAAGCTTCTTTCAAGCGGTTTACCACATGGGTGTGGCTCAAAGTTAAACAGGAGGGGCAAACCGCAGGTTTTGGTCCATGTTTCCACTTACCAGAATTCCATTTTGGAACTCCGGTTTTTGGAGCCACAGCCATATCCGAACTTTTTGGTATGCCACGAAACTGGTCCAAGCCCCAAAAGTTTATGAGGCCCAGGAACTCAGGACAGTGGAACTCACGCGCCCGCTTGCAAGTTACAGAGTCCAGGCGCCCTCGTCCGATCGGCTCTCCAGGGGGAAGCGCTGCATGTCCTGCACCGCCAGGAGGGCCTCTTCCAGCACCTCGAAAAAAAGGGCGCGGTGCCCGATTTCAGTCCTAGATCCTCCAGTAAGAAAGGTTAGAATAAGGGTACCAACTTTTTCTGCAGTCTATTTTCCAGGTGAAGCTTCCATTTCCATTCTTTCCAGGAATCCTTCTTTCTGGAAAACCACCCAAAACCCTGGAGAAATTGCTGATTTTTGAAAAGAACGATGGCTGAAAAGAATGGGGAATCAACCGCTAGAAATTTCAGTTCTCTAGTCTACCCTTCAAAAGGGAAAACAGAGCTATATACTTTAGAGGGTTCCTTCCCCTATTCCATTTTTGAGGGGGCGGGGATGCTCAAAGATTAAAAAAGGTACCTGGGGCAGGCTCATCACAAAGCAAGCTAACCTTCAAATTCACTTGCAACACGAACACTGTCACATGGATTCTCCCTTGCAAAACACATGCACCCTGAATCAGCTTAGCGTCCACAAGTGAGCTGCAGGGGAGGAAGGCCCCATTTGTCCATCTCTAGTTCCATTGTGCTAAAAAGACTCATTTCCAACTTGCTTGGACAGCCGGGGAAGCAGTAAAACCAATTGCATCTCATGACCGGACATGTGCAAACCATCCCCATACCTTCGTCTCCGGGGAAAATGCGTCAAATGGAATTGGGGTGGACCTGCCTCCAGTTCCCTGAATTATCGGTCCATGTTAAAGGGCTGGGGACTTCAAGCAGTAACCCCGACCCAGGCAAGCTCCCGCCAGGACTGAGAAGCTTTTGAGGGGCCATGCCTAAGGGGAAGGCAACCAATCAACCACTGATCGACTACATGTTGCCGGTAAAAATCAATCAAACAGTTGCTGGTCTGTTTTTTTTGTTTCCGCAACTTGTGTTCCCTTGCCAAGTTAAAAACAAATAAAAATGGACAGCACTTCTGGAGGTCCAAATCCCACTTGGCTTGTCTTTTTCGAGGGCAACAGGAAGACCAATCATTTCTTGGGCTGCCCCTCAAAACACATACCCTCTCAGACCACACCGACACCGAGAGAGCCGCCGGTTGTGCCTCGTTGGGGTACTTGAGCTTCAGCACCGGCAGTACGGAGGTCTCCGGCACTGCAGAGGCCTGCTCCGGGTTGGAGGCCGCCTGCGTGTAGATCCCCGCCTTGGGCAAGTCATCCAGCCACTCCCCGACGAAGACCTCCGACCAACAAACGGAAAAAAAGGGGGGGGGGGGGGGGCGCAACGCACCCGGAACCCTG